ATAACGCCCCCACGGCTGAAAGGGCGAGCATGTTTGGTGGGATGCGGATTCGAACCCGCGACCCTCAGATTGTGAGTCGAGCGCCTTATCCACCTGGCCATGCCGGGCACAGCTCGCGACGAAGAAGATGGAACTTAGAATAGATAGTAACAAGCATCTGCTACGTATGTTTGAAGATTTGATGAAGCATACGTGGGAAGAAATAAATGTTCTATTCTTGGAGTGTTCGGGCACTATACAGTGAAGTAAAGTATGCATTCTGTAGGAGTTTCTAGTCATGTTCCTGCTTTTCACTAGACATTTTCAAACAAGTAGGAGACGGATTGTGATAACACACACTGTAAGATCCATTGAGGGTTAAGACTGTGAATTTAGTTATTTATTGATTAAATCAAATCACAAGTGTGAAAATATTTCAGGACAAAAACCCAGTGTTCAAAATTAACAACAACAAAAACTCAAGAAAGAAGACTGTTAGAAAACGCTTACTATATGAACAGTAAACATGGAAAGCCAAGTAAAGGGGAAAGGGTGATCAAAAGTAAGTGAAACAAAACTTCAGTTAAATGAAATAAAAGTGAAAAAAAAGCGCCTATAATCAGAGTTTGTTTGTTGAATTTCGCACAAAGCTACTCGAGGGCTATCTGCGCTAGCCATTCTTATTTTTGAAGCAATAGACTAGAGGGAAGGAAGTTAGTCAACACAACCCACCATCAACGAAATACGGGATTGACCGTCACATTATAATGCTTCCTCGGTTGAGAGGGCGCGCATGTTCGGTGATAGGATTCGAACCCGCGATCCGCAAATTGCGAGTCGAGTGTCCTAACCACCAGCCCATGCTAGACTCTCTTTAATCAGGGTAAAAATTCATACCACTGGAAAAAAATGTAAACGATGGAAATAACTGATGTCAAGTGGAAAGAACTACATCGATAAAACATTTTGGAAAAAAGAGGGTCACTGAAAATCAAATATAGGAAACAACTGCATGGAAGAAGAAACTTTGTAAAATAACACACTTTGAGAAGAAGTCATGAGAAAATAAATAGTCATACACTATTACTTCAGAAGAGAAAACGAATATAATAAAGAAATGCATACAAAGCAATTTCATAGGAAGAACTAAAGAAGTGGATAACAAAGGACCAAACAAAGTTCAGAGATTGAGGGAAAACAGTAAACTTGTTGAAAAAATAAACAATATCCATGTGAAAATAGGTAAGTATACTACTGTCATAGTCAAGAAAGTACAGTTTTAACATCGATACTAGCTGTAGACTCGTCAGAGGTGTCCGAGAAGTGGTTTTTAATGAAGAAACACGGGCTGGAGTAAAGTTTTAATAGGTTTAGGACTTACACTCTATCTTTGTTTATTACATAAGATTCTTCAACATAAAATTGAACAAAA